TTGGGTAGTTTTTTGATTACTGATTCAATTTCGTTGCTGGTAATTGGTCTGTTTAGATTTTCTGTTTCTTTCTTGGACAATCTTGGCCTAACTTCTTGGTTTTTAAAGTGGACTCTTAACCTTAAGATAGAATACTTCCTGCTCTTACTATACTGTTCATATCTTGGCTTTTTGAACAATTAATCATGATGCTTGTCTCCTGTCTCTGCCTTCCATCACAACCATTACTACTATCAATTTTAAAACATGTCGTCACCCTAGTAAGCAGCCCCTTGTCCATTAGAAGTCACTCCCCATTTCCTCCAAACTCCCCCACACCTACTTTTTGTCTTTACCGATTTGCTTATATTGGATGTTTCATTTGTGGAATCATACAACTTTTGGCCTTTTATGGTTGACTTCTTTCACTTAAAATAGTATTTTCAGAATTCATCCATATTCTAGGATGTATCAGTATTTCATTGCTTTTTATTGCCTATAAAGCAATTGTGTGGACATAGCACATTTTATTTATCTGTTTATTAGTTGATGGACATTTGGGTTGTTTCTGCTTTTTGTCTGTTATGAGTAATGCTGCTATGAACATTTATATACAAGCCTTTGAATGGCATATGTTTTCATGTTTCTCCCACCTAGCAGTAAAATTCCTGGATCATATGATAAAGCTGTATTTATCCTTTTGAAGACCTGCTAGACTGTTTTCCATAGCCCCTTCACCATTTTTCATTCCCACCAGCAGTATATGAGAGTTCTGACTTCCTTAACTGCAGTTAATTATCTGTCTTTTATATTACAGCCATCCTAGTAGGTTTGAAGCAATATCTCATTGTAGCTTGGATTTGTATTTCCCTGATGGCTAATAGTGTTGAGCATCTTATTCATGTCCAAAAATTTAAAACCAACTAAGAGCCGCTTAAAAAGGCCCTAAGAAACCTCTCAGATTAGAATCTTTTATGCTTGCAAGGTACCAAACTGACTGTTTGGTTACTCGGAGGTATGCTTGTATAGGAATAACAGGGTAAATGCTTGATTCTTTCCCTTTATTTACTATTTTTCAGAAAATTGAGTCATGCATAATTTAAAACCAAAGTAAATGAATACAGAGTGATTTTATACCTGTTGCTTTCTTATCTAGAGTAAGAGTTGATATTAATGCCATTAGGGGAATTATATACATATATATAAATATTATTTTAAAAGACTGGACTAGATGATCTCTAAGGTCTCATTTAGCCATAATAGGCTATGCCTTTTTTTACTCATGAAAAACATTTATCTCAGTAGTAAGTAACTGTATAAGAATTTATTGCAATGCTTCAGTGTTCTCTGGAGAGTAGACATGTCTTTATCGTATAACATGCTTTATTTGCCATGAAATTTGCCATATTTGTGGGTTTGTCTCAGAATCTCTGGTCCTCGAAGATTAGCTAAGAGGGCACGCAGCAGGGCCCGGAGAAATAGTTTAATCAATATTATACATGAGAGCAAATTTATCAAGGTAACAGTGGGTGAGAAAAGGAGGCTACTGGAAACTGCATTGTGATTCCACTTTTGTAAAATAAGCAAAGCAAAGAAACTTCCATCCTTGGACTGTATGAAAGAGAGAGAGAGAGAGAGAGAGAGAAAGGACAATCTGTTAGATTATGTAGGTATAGAGGAAAATATGGAAGAAGCTACACTAGATTATTAATACAGCTTTCTGGGGGCATTGGGGCAAGGAGGAAATTTAGATACTGATTTAGGAGGAAGAGATAGTGGGCAGGGAAGAGATATTCATGAGTAAAATACATAAGAGGTTTATTTGTGTAATACTGTATTTGTTGTGGGCAGGGAAGAGATATTCATGAGTAAAATACATAAGAGGTTTATTTGTGTAATACTGTATTTGTATGTATTCATTAAAAAAAAAGTGGGACTACCCAGCCCTCCCCAGATGACCCAAATTAAAAATTCTACCAGTTTCAGCCCTTGTTTTAGATGGATTTGTCCTAAAGTCTTTGTTGTTGGAAACAGAATTTGGGCTTTCATCCCTATACTTTTGAGTCAACTGTACATTCCACCTCGTTCATCATCTTAGAATGCTCTGAATGTTTGGCTTTTAATATTTTTTTTCTTCCTAGTTGGAAATCTACATTTCTGAAGGATCCCATTCAACAGAAGAAGACAGTAAGTGAATCTCGAACCATTATTCAAAGACAACTTCAAATAGTACTTTATCTTGGATACCAGATTGTTTTGACAGTCAAGTAGCTACTGGGTCATTTGCAAAGAAGTGCAGTATTAGTTATTAGCTCTTCCTTGAGGTGGAGAAACCTAGGTATTTCAAGGAAGTGACTTTTTCAGTGGAACTCTGGGTGTATTAAAGCTAGGGCCTATGGATATTGGCTGGTCTAGGTTTAAGTCAATGGCTATACTTCCATAAGAATACCCAGCTCTAAGGAGGGCTAGATTCTTCTCTTCGGTAGCACGATAGAGAGCTATGTACTTAAAACTGAAATTAAAGTTCTAGCAAAGAAAGCTTTAGGGAATCTTGAGGTTTCTGTTGTCTCTCTGGGTTAATGTATTAGAATGGGAATGGGGGACCTTGTTTATAGAGAGGACGTCTGGCCTACAGAGAGAAATTAATCAGTAGCCACTTAGAAATAGTAGAGGTGGGGTTTGGGAAAAGCAAAAGACAAAATATTCCACATAGCCTATGTATTACATAAAAACAGAATAGAATTTTTATCCGCAAATGGTAGAGTGCAGATAATAAATACATTTTAAATGCATGTTGTACTTAGCTTTCATTGCTAGGTAAATTGAGAAATCGGAAAAAGACAAAAGAGGAGGAGAAAGAGTAATAGAGTAAAAGCAATAAGATAGACACAGAGAAAGACAGCGACTCAGAAAAGCACGCACTCGGAAGAAATGCACAAAAACAAGCATAGAAGAGGAAATCCTGCTGCTTTCAGAACAGACTATTCAGAAAGCTTTTTAGGTACTGTCAAGGAAACTACTAAAACCATGTCCTGTTTTCACAATTCCTGACATATAGATTATATTCTCATGGGTTAAATTTATTTAAACCTTATAAACTGAGGGCCTCCGCCTCTTAATTTAAAGAATAAAAGAGTTTAAGCACCCTAAATCCACTCAAGTCGTGCTTTTGAAACTCCACTTAGTTAAGCAGTAGTATTAAGCCTTATGATTCTGGGTTTTTCATTTGGTAAATATTGAGTATCTTCTGTGTGTAGGCACAATTTGACCTTTGAGATACAGCCTTACCCTTGTGGAGCCTAGATTATACTAAGAAGAAACAAATGAATTGAAATTCTTTATATATGAAGAATGTGTATTATGTTTTCTATGTAAGACATTTTAACAGGATCTCCAAAAAGTTAACCCACAATTAAGAATATGGACGTCTCTCTTTTAGACTGTTCCATCAAGAGTGCTTTTTAGCAAATAATAGACAACCGCTGTAGGCCAATACCTTTATTACATAAAGATCCATGCAAATGGTTTTACAAAAAGACCCAGTAGATTAATAGAGACATCAGCAGAAAATTCACACAAGATGAACTAAATAAACATAGAGAAATGTTCTATCTCACTATTAATCAAGGAATTGCAAATCACAGCAATAATATGGAGCCATTTTTTACTTCCTGTTTTATGTATATGTATGTGTATTTGCTTTTACTAATAATACCAAGTATTTCTGGCCAACTGAAAACTCAGGTATTGCTGTTGACAATGTAAATTGGTAAAGCATATTGGGAAGTCATTCAGTGACGTGAGTCAAACCATAAAAAATGCTCATATCCTATGATCTGATCCACTTTAAAGAATCTTTCCAAAATGAAGGCTATATATTTAAAGATGCAGTGGAGCATAGTATTCATAATTAATTTAGAACATTTATGATTTTTGCTATGTTAAATAGCACTGTAGTTTAAAAAATAGGCTGAAGGAGAAAAAAATAGCAATTTTCAAAATTTAGTCTGAAGGTAACTATATGGAGATATGTCTATGAACAAAGATGGGAAAGAAATGAAAATAGTTGCAGTAGAAGTAGTAGGATTATAGGGGATATTTCTCTCTCCCTTCCAGAACTTATAAATAATTACCTAAAATCAGCTTTAAGTCATCAAGGAGTTAAATTCTCTGTTTTAACAAGCTAACAAGATACTATGGTTGTTTTATATTGACACAGTTCTGCTAACTTTGTGTGTTTTGCAGTCAACAAGCAGATAAATGACAAAGAGCGAGTGGCAGCCGCAATGGAGAACCCCAACTTACGGGAGATAGTGGAACAGTGTGTCCTTGAACCTGACTACTAGCTGTTTTAAGAGCAACTGAACTGCAGTTGTTTGATATATTTGTTTAAATTCTTTGTAAAATGTAAAAACTTATGTTTGATACATAGATGATTTGTACCTCAAAGCATTTTTTTAAAGGGTGATTTACAAGCAAGATTTAATTAAAAGGTAATAGTTGGTTCAGTGATAACATTCTCAGGATTTGTAACAATTAAATGATCAGACAAAAATATTTTCTAGGTATTATGTGTAAGGTGAGTTGCTATTTTTCTGATGCCTATCCTGATACAACTACTTTTCATGTCAAATATTTACCATGCCCCAATGTATTCCATTTAAATCATTTCTCTGTAAAATAAACAGCGATGATTCTTATAATGATGCACCTTAGAATGTTTTTATTGAATTATAAATTTCATTGTAAATGTTGGCTCTCATAGGCATTTCTCAAGGCTTTATTTTCTGAGTATTGTGTAGAATCAGAGATCTGAGAAAGAGGAATAATCCAAGATCAGGCCTAGGCTCTGCGTTCCTTCAAGGAGAGCGAGTCTTGGACCATTTATAAATGAGGAACAAATGTGGAGAGTGCCAGATGACATGTAGAATTTGGAAGATCATGAAGTCCCCAGAGAAGCTTTGATTCAACCAATCTAAATTTACCATCTCTTGTACTTTGTCCAGTTCCTTGACTGGAACCTCACAAAAGCCTGAGCCTGTCTTGCTAAGCCACTCCTGAATTCCTGGCCTAGAGAAGCTGTGAGCAATAATGTAAATGCTTATTGTTCAGGTCACTCAGTTTCTGGGTAATCTGTTATGCAGCAATAAGTAACTCATACACAAGTTACTAGAATGGAACTCTTCTGCCTCTAATTGAAGATGCTAAGGGGAAAAATAGGAGAACTTGTTCAATGGCTCTTGAACCCCTTTATTCACCTCAAGAATAAAAGTTTTGAAAGGACAGAGAGGATTTGGTGAGAAATTTGATGAAGGCCTTTTTTTGGATAACGCTGTTGGTGTGCTGAGTTCCACCCCTCATTTTGGTGTAAGGGTAGGGAAGTGACATGTGCTCCCACTGTCTGCTATAGGGAATTTGAAGGAGAAAATTCAGAGAGTTTGGAAATGTGTTCTCTGTGATTGGGAGACTCAGAAAACTGGTGCCTGACTCCGGCCTGAGAAAGAAAGAAAGAAGTGGCTGAAGGCTGGGATCTGACTCCTGCCTAGCATATCTAGAGAGCAAGAGAAAGCAAGGCTAACTTCTTTGACAGCAGAGCCCTCATGACAAGGGATGCATGACATGCTGTGGAGTCATATTTGACACTGACCAACAGACCGATAGCAGAGCCGAGTAGATCTCAGCAGGAAGGGTCTGGAATGCATTGCCTGGTGCCCGGGGACTAGGGGGAGAGGACACCAAGTAAGCAGCCAGGGCAGAGATGCATCTGCCAGGGTCAAGGTGTACAGCAGGAACCCCTAGTAAGCTCAAAGTGCCAACCTGAGAGAACCAGCTGTAATCACCAGGCAGGCCCAGAGTGCGCAAAGCCATTCAGCCTGGTGGGAACTGTCCTATGCCAAGCACTCCTTCCCTCAGCTTCTGAGGCAGTGTTAGAGTGACTAGCAAGGGAGACATTGAAGAGGAAGAAAGGACTCCATCCCATCCTGCTGAAGGGAATTTCAAGCCTGAAGCAAGCTCAAATTAGCAACTTAATTCCAAGTTTGTAGTTTTGAATATTCATGTTTCTAGATCTGTTGATGCGATGAGATCATGTGATTAAAAATGACAGGCAGACAATCTGGCGGAAATCATTTGTCTGCCTCAGTCTTCACCGCCGGAGGAAGATCATTTCTTCTCAACCAAGTTTCAAAGGATAGAGGGGACAAAAGTAAAACTAATTCTTATACAACATACTGGTTATAGAAGTCCTGTTAAGAGCACTGTGGCTTCTGCTTAGGCTCTGCGCCATGGGAATGTCTCAGCATAGCTGCATCCCTGTTATTCTTCCTCTCGAGATCAAAAATGCTGCTGCCAGAGAAGCACATGGTGGCATTGACGTGCTAGGTTTGTGGAAATGTCACTGTTGATTCCTGATCTTTTGCTGTTAAAGTTCTCACTGGCTCCTCTCTTCCAGATCTGTAAATCTGTCCCCCAGCATACATAAGTAGATCCGGAAGTGCTGATAGTCATCACGGTGTTCATTCTTTTGTAAATTACAAGTGGACCAAAATATTTCCACCCACACTTGTTTCTTGCTTCATGGCAGCCTGTGATCCAGGGCCAGAGGAAGGACTAAGTGTATCTGGTATATACCCTGTTCCATGTTCTCCCACCCAGTGCACACGTGTGCATACACACATACTTTTCCACCAGCTGTCTGCTTCTAAAACCTCACGGGCATCACCTGAAGGGGCTCTGGGGCTCACAGCCCAGGGTCACATTCACACTAATCCTCAAGTTCTGACCATTTCTCATCACAGGAGAGTTCATGATCTGGGAAATTCAAGAAGCCATATACAGGGCTTTAAGAGTAGGACTCTCTATATCCCCTTATGAGACCCTGATAGACGAAACCCTCATTGTCAGTTCCGGGTGGCTGGAGTCTATTGAAGTCAGAGACCCCTAGTGTATGCTCTCACAAACTCACGCACTTACGCAGTGGTGCTCTCATCAACAGATAACTTAGTGAACACTTTAAGTACCAGTGATGCCGGGGTTCTTGTTTGCAGAGCTGAAGAATGAGCTTCACAAACAATCAAGGTAGGAGAGCAAGGTACAGGCTTTTATTTAGAGATAAAGTGAAAGGACAGAGCTCCCGGCTCACGCCAGGAGGGGACAAGAGAGTCTGTAGTGGTGCGTTGTCTAGGGGGTTTTATAGGCAGTTGAGGATTTTTCAAGAACATGAAAAAACTTAGGGGTGGGGACTTGTTAAGTGGTCCCTGAATATTAAAAATTAACTGTCAGGAATTTACTGCCTTGATTTCTCTCTGGGACACGGGCACCTTGGTCTGGGAGCATATCAAAAGGCTGCCTGTCCAGCCCCCAAGGTGGGCTGAGGTATTATCTACTTGCTAAAGAATCTTGCCTCTTGAACTTCCTGGGTGTTAAGATGCAATCCTATCTTTAAGATGGAATTCTTCCTGCCTTTAACCATGCCGTCTACAGCTGGGTCTGCATGCTAGGTTAATTGCTCCGTTTGCAGAATTACCTCGTCAGATCTGGAGGAGAGACAGCACATAGGCCTTTTAGCATGCTAAAGTGAATCTTACACATGGTTACAAATGATTAACATAATAAAACACGTGCTACTCTTCTTTATCTGGGGAACATTAACTGATCTCACTGAAGAATGATTCTAGAGCTCAAGGGGGTTTCCTTGCATGTAGTTACATTGCTCTGACTGCAGATATCCCACCCTGCCCCCTCCGGAGGCCCTCACTCTATTCTGACTACATCTATGGTCTCTGTCTCACCAGGTACTATTTTAAGTGCTGAGGATACACAGATGGATCAGCTACTGTCTGTCCTAGAGGTCATACTTAACCAATCTCTGCCTTCAGAGTCTCATCTACCTGAGCTTGTCTTGGCCAGGTAGACAGCCAAGACAGGACCAAAGACAAAACTATACCCAGGGACTATCTGGTCAGTAGACCACTGAGGTACAGGCAGAAATGGGTTCCTGGTGGCAGGCTCCCCATCCTGCTGGCCCAGCTGCTCTTGGAAGTCAGATGAAACTGCTGTTTTGTGTGGCTCACTGCAGTTGCAGAGTCCTAGCTGGAGTTTCTAATGGGCTGGTCCACATCCCTGCCCTGGCTGCCACCGAGGCAGGAGAATCTGACCTTCTGTATGGGGGTGGTGACTCCTGGTGGGAATTCCCCAAATACAGTAAGACGGTTCCAATGACTAATGTCCATTACATTAGTAATATATTTAAATGAGCTTGTATTTTAGCAAGCATAACAGCATCTACATGCAAGTGAAAAACAGGTGCATGTATTCACAAGATGCATTATCTAGCCCTATCTCTGGCAGGGTGGGCAAACTTGGAAAAGGACGATAGTGAGTTCTTCGGCTTTGTGTCTCTTGCCTGCTGTTCAACTCTGTAGCACAGAAACAGGACAATATGCAAATGATGAGTGGGGCTGTGTTCCAATGAAATTTGATTTATGGACATAAATTTGTCATTTAATTTTCAGGTGTCATGAAATACTATTCTTTTGATTTTTCAACCATTTAAAGATATAAAAACGGTTCTTAGCTTGTGAGTTACAAAAGTTATACAAATTATACAAAAATAAGCATTGGGCTAGATTTGGTTTTGGGCCATTTTGCAACCCCTGACCAGTAAGAATGATTTGGAAGGTCTCAGACCTTTTTGAGAATCTCATGAAAGATAAGGAATGGATCCTCTCCCTAGAGGAAAAAGGCACACACGTAAAACTTGGCATGTGACTCCAAGATTTTCGTAAATTTGCTAAGGAGTCAGTGGACCCCAAGTTAATAACTCTGATCTCCAGATCATGCTTTCTGAGCATTTGGGCTTCCCATTCCTTCGATAACTCCTCAGCATCCCGGGGCCTTGGTTGGGAGCCACTACTTTCTTAGGCCATAACAAATAATTGAGAAGCTTTCTCAGCTCCACTGTGAAGCAACTACTTTGTTACTGAAAACTGTAGCTGTCTCCAGCAGCGTACAATGAACTGTAATTAGGGGAGGACTATTTATTAAGAGAAAGGATTGCTATAAAAGTCACATTGCGTCATAGCCAGTTGGTGTTTCTTGTGTGTGAATACAATGGCAGAGAACAAGCCAGTGAACCTTGAGAGTTGAAACTCATCACTGATGCACCACTACTGGAAATACTGTTTTTTTAAGCTGCTGATGGGTACTGAGTTTTTGTCACGTTATGCCTTATATCTCTTTGTATATATTAAATATTTTACAAAAAAAACCCCAAAAAACAAAAAACAACCCAGTGGAGCTAGCCTGGGCCAGTAATTGTCTCTGACTCAGTTTGGACTGTCATAGGGCAGAAGTGTAGGGGGAGGGACTGGGTAGCAGTTGCAGTGTGGGCTAAGAGGTTCTCTCTGAGTGCCCTCAGTATCACATAGACCTTTGATCCCCACAAAGGAGGTGGTTCAGAGCATAGACCTGGTGCCAGCATGCCACCCTGTCCTAATCCTGCACTTAGCCACTTAGTAGCTGTTTGTCCTTGGGCAAGTTTCTTGTACCTTAGTTCCCTCATCTATAAAATAAGGATGATAGAAATAACTATTTCATAGGGCTGTTAAGAGGATTAGGAGGGAATGATTGTAAGTGCTAAGCACAAAACCTGGAACATAATAAATGTATTAGTGTATATAAATTAAAAATAGAGGAGAGGGCC